CCAAAGATCTAAAGTTTGGAAAATGGTCAGCCACCTGGGAAGGTTCCTTTTCATCTCGGCAAAATCATCAAGCGGCGCATACAAGTTAATGGAACCCGAAGGTGGAGAGCTAAAGATATTCATTAACGGGAAGTATCTAAAACCTTTTTATCCATCACTTTGGGATATCGAAGAACATCAGACTCAACAACAGCCCGGAACAGCTCCCGGAAATGCCCAAAATGCATGATCCCGACCAGCGAACTAAGAAAAGACAGAAGATCGGACTTTTGGGATCTAACAGGTCATCAGACAGATCAATCCCTACGAATGAGGCCATTGAGAAGATGTGGGGATTTTTCCCTCACTAGGAATGAAGATAATGGTCATTTCTTTCACCGAATAAAGAAAGAAGGATGACGGTGAAGTGTGAAGCTAACGAAAAAATTTCTCCGGGGCACGCATATTGGAGTGTTTGTTTGGAAAATGTCATGGATTCAACAAAAATAATTTTGGACTGCAAAAAATATTTTTGTGGGGACATTTGTTATTTCCAAAAAAACAAAATAATTACCAGATTTGGCCAAACCCAACACAAGACAAGCTCAGAGTTTTACAAAATCGGCCCAGAAGAAAAGCGGCTCAGTCTGGATGAGACCCCAAAAGACAAGACCGGCCCAAATCCATCTCATATGTGGAAGTTTCGGATAAGTGGAAAAGATGAAAGAAATTGGGAAGATAAATGGGAATGTTAGCTCATAAAATAAAGAAAAAAGGAAAAAAAATTAGGAACATGCGGCACAAAGTATAAAAAGAAAGGAAGAAAAGATAACACATCCCGATGAACATAACAACTAGCAATTCAATTCCTTAAAATTTTCCAGCATATTTTCCTTTCCTTGTTTCATTCTTACTTTCTTGTTAGCATTACTAATTCAATTTAGATCAAGTTATTCTTTCCTTATTTTTCTCCTACGGTTCTTCTTCTTCATAATTTAATTTAGTGCTCGTAACTCTTACGTTGTAATTTATAAAATATTTTATCCAAAAAATATTAATTTCAATTAAATATAAGTAGGAACAATATAAATAAATATTTCAAATATTTTATAAAAATATTAGTATTGTATTAAAAAAAATATGTAAATTGAAAGAATGAATTTTTATATGAAAAAAAATAATTTTCTCTATTATAAAAACTAATTAATATATTGTAACAAATCTTGTAAAAATTATTGAATCATAAATAAATAGATTTTATATACAAAAATTTATATTATAAAAAAATATATTTGTTCTATAGACAAATAAATAATAGAAATAAATATTGTTTACATAAAAGTTTTAAATTATATTTAATGGATAAAAATATTAATAAAAAGATATTTAGAAGGTAAATAGAGATCTTATAAGTAAAAGATAAAAAAATTTAATTAATTTTAGTCGCATTATAAAATTGTTAAGTTTTTTATATTTGAACCAAATTGATAAATTTTAATTATATTGAAACCAAAATTTATTTTTTTTCTAAATAAAATATATAATAATTAAATTATATGGAATAAATAAAAATTTAAATGAAAAAATTATATAAAAATAATTTAAGAGTTGGGATTTTGAATATTTACCCCAATAAACATTCGGCATCCAATCTTCTTTGCCAAATATTTCTCCATTCCCATGTTCCCACAAATAAAATGATGCCACGTAGAGGAGAGAGAATTTACATGAGAGAGAGTATTAAAATCATCCGCAACTGAGATATTCGCTTTTGAGTATCTCCATTACTTTTTGTTATCCACGTCACTTTCTCTCTTCTATATCAGCGGAGAGTCTCTTATATTTTATATTCGCAACAAAGATACAAATCCTAATTTTTTAATAAATTTTTATTTTCATATTATATATATTATTTTTTAATTTTTAGTATTAATTATTAATGTATGTATAATTATAGTTTTAATTTTTTAGTATTAATTATGTATGTATTAATTATAAAATAAATATATTTATTGTTTAATATAATTTTATATTATTTAATTACTTTAAAATATATAATTATATTTTATTTAATAAATTAAATTAAATTTATTAATATTGATTTGTATAAATTACAAAAACAAAACATATATAATATATTATATATATAAGTGGGACACATGACAATTGGATAACATTTTCTCAGCATCTTTGCAGAATGGCTGGGAAACAACATATTTATCAATTTTTATTTTTAATTTTTTAAAAATAGTGATGTGTCGCATCTCCGCCGATTGCGGATGGTCTAATATGATTTAAATTTTATATATTTTTTAAATATAATTTCATTACTTATTAATCTCAACTTAAATTTTATCTAATTATTTTTTATTTCAGATATTTTAATCCTTTTAAAGAAAATGACTATTTTCAAAATTAAAATAAATTTTGAAATAAAAAATACCTGAAAATATTATATAAATTAATGTATTTTTACAAAATAATGTGATAAAAAATTAAAAAATAATATGAATAAAATAAAATAAAATTTATTTTTCAAGATAATAATTACATTAAATAATAAAAATATAGTTAAACAAAAATGTTTAAATTGTAAATGTTATTATGTTCTCTTTTTTCCATTCAAAGTTGTTTTTAATTTTTATTTTCTTATTTTACATTTTTGTAAAATTATTATTCTTTTATAAAAATATCATATTAAATTGGAATATTAAAAAAAATGTATGATGTATTATATAAAATTTAAATTTAAATAATTGACATAATATTATAATCATAAAATAGTATTTTAGTATGATATTTAAAAAATAATACTATATTTTATAATAAAATAATATAACAAAAAAAAATTAAAATAAAAATAATTCAATAAAATTACAATTGTATTTGAAAATAATAATAATAAATAAATAAAAGTTATTGTTAAATATATATATATATATCATAAATTCTACATATAATCTTATTTCTTTCATTTCGCATGAATTTATTGATTGGAATAGATGGCACAAATAAATCTGAAATAGAAGATTTGAAGCCTAAATATATATATATATATATCATAAATTCTATATATAATTTATTTATTTCGTTTCGCATGAATTTATTGGTTGGAACAGAGCGTATAGATAAATTTGGAAGAGAGGATTTGAAGGCATCCGCTAATCCAGAGCCGCTGCCTGTAGCAGGTTCTCTTCTTCTTTCCTAATTCTTTCCTTTCTCCCTTTCCCTCCTCCTTCTTTATCCACCCTGCTGCTCTACTCCGGTGACTGTTAGGGCTACCAGTGAGGCACTGAACTGACGGTTTACGGTTCGGGGGAATAAGTGAAAATCAGTTCCAGTTTGAAACCGATTGGGCAAGTCTAGCTATCATTATTATTTTATTTTATCCGTCCTCCATGCCTCCTAGACAGGACAGCCTCTTAGTCGTCGTCTATCCAGTTTCGTCAATCGTCGTAGAATTTGTAAGTTCAATTCTTGCACTATTGTTTGAACTATATGCCCCCAATGCCGGCTGCTATGGCATTAAGGGTTTGAATGGTTTGATTGTATGTTGCCATATTTTAGATTGATTTGTATTGTTGAAGTCGTATTAGTTTAATTTTTGTTGGCCTGTGCATTCTTTATGTTGGAGTTTATGTTGGTTATAGGGTCTTTCATCGTATAGTTATAATATTATGCAAGTAATAAAGCTATGAACTAACGTATCTAAAATATGCGGGCCGAAGGATTTAATCATATTTTCGTAGGCTTTGATTCAAAATTCTTTTCTTTACTTCTTGTAGCTTCTTATTTATTTGGTGTGATCTTTGATGCTAGCTTTGTGACCTTGTTCCTGTGTTATTTCTGCATTTTAAGGTTAGATTTGGTAGACTTTGAAAAGGTTTGATGAATGATGATTATGTTGGCGTAGACTTGTCCAAACGGTTCAAACCGTTGATTACGATTCAAACGGCCGATTACGATTTGTCAAAATATTAAATCGAAATCGAACCATTTAAGTGATGGTTACAGTTTATAACAGCCGGTTATAGAAACGTCGGTTTATATATATTTATTTTTAATATATTTATTTTTTATTTTTAAATTTTTCTAAATTTAAATTTTATTTAAAAATAATTATTTTTTATTTTTATTTTATTTAAATTTATTTATTATATATTCATTATATAAAAATAATATAAATAAGGGTAAACTATTTTTTTAGTCCGGTAACTGGACCCCTTATCATTTTAGTTCCATAAGTGGAGTCTGTCACAAATTAGTCCCATAAGTGAAATTTTTTTGTTGTTTTAGTCCTCCGGCGCCGGAAACGCCCGCGTAGCTCGCCGGAGATGACATGTCCACCAGGTGTCCCTGACCCGGCGAACACGTGGATTTATTTATTTTTTTATTTTTTTTAATTTTATTTGTTTTTTTTTTTGGTCCAATTAAAAAAAATTTTAAAAAATAAAAAAAAAAGAAAAAAAAAAAAGTAAATCTAACCGCCAGGTGTCGCTGACTTGGCGGGACACCTGACGGACATGTCACCTCCGGCGAGCCACGCGGACGTCTTCAGCGCTGGAGGACTAAAAGAGCGAAAAACTTTCACTTGTGGGACTAGTTTGTGACAGATTCCACTTACGAGACTAAAATGATAAAAGGGTCAGTTACGAGATTAAAAAACAGTTTACCTATAAATAATTATTAATTAGATTATTATAATGTAAAAATAATTAAAATAATAAATTTAATGAGCAATTAAATCAAATTATAAATTAAAAAAATACAAATAAATTATAAAAATATTAATATAATTAAAAAATACAAAATATAAATAAAAAATAATATTATATTATTAGTATTAGTATTTTTTAATATTATTAATAATTTTTTATTTAATAAAAAATTGATAATATATAAATAATTTAAATTAAACATATTTTATAATTTTAAAATATATAAATTTGTCCAAAATCCTAATGCCCTAAAACCTAATAAATTATTTTACACATCCACACCTGACACCACAGCAGCCGCAGCCGCAGCCGCACTAGCCAAGGCAGCCACCAGGTTCTTCCTTTTTCTTCTTCCTCTTCATCGATTCTTTCGTTTCTTCCTCGATTCTTCTTCTTCACCTTCCTCTTTCTTCTTCTTTTTTACCGATTCTTCTTCTTCTTCACCTCTTCTTCTGCCTGCTCTGCTCTTGCGCGACGGACGGCCAGATTAAAAAAAATAATTAAAAACAAACAATTATGGCCGAACCGCCGGTTCAAACCGTCGGTGGTTCACGATATGGAAAACTACAAATCGAAACTGAACCGGAAGAACTACGGTTTCGATTCGGTTTGCATCCGGTTTCGGTTCGAACCCGACGGTTCGGAACTGAATGGGCAAGTCTTGATGTAGTACTATGTAAATTGTTCGCTTTGAAATATGTATTATATGATTGTTTTTGTTAACTATTTCTGTAGATAATGTGTATTTGTTTATATAAATAGTATATGAAATAAATGGTTGAAAATTTTTATTAGGTGCTTATTGTCTTGAAAAGGATTGCAACCAGGGTTGAAGATTTTAAAGAGGGTTGAACTTCGAGTGTGATCTTCCTAGTTAAATTATATTTGATTAAAGACACGTACATTATTGTCGAGTTGATTCTACTGGCCGTGCTGAATTCTGAAGCATGGGCCTGGAAGGAGACGAAATCCCTATGGCCGATGGAAGCCCTAGTGATGATTATTCAGTTCCAAGTAAGACAGTAGAGTTTGATGCAGTTGAACATCCTCTCGAGTTGGAACATCACTCAGAGGTGAATCTGGGAGATGGCGTTGAGCAGGATGAAGATGGATATGGCAGTGATGATTCAGAAAGTAAAGGGGAAGGGGAAGGAGAAGGAGAAGCAGAGTACATGTTTCAATTCCAGGGGGATATGGACCCCTTATCGTTTGCAGAAGAACAAGATGCACCTGGATTGCTGCCATACCAGCGATTTGAGCGGTTACATAACCAGTATGAGGTCTTGGCTGCCAAGAAGCGGCCTGCCCTTCAACAGTGCATTAGGTACGCCTTCAGTTGTGCTGCGGACTATCATTATATCGTTGACTTATGAGATTTGGTGAACTTCACCACCACATTTGTGTTTCCTTTATTTGAATTCATGTGTATTAGTGTTCATATATTTATTATCCATGGACTGATGCAGTGACCTGCCTGCTAAGAGGTTGAGAGTAGAGGAAGATCTTGGTGCAACATTTGAAGAAATAATGGAGACCATGAATTATGGTTCGAGAAAAAAGTCAAGGAAGGTGTGCATTTAATATTTCCCTTCGGAATTGGTCCATTGCATCTTTGACTGTGAAGATTATATGCCCTAATTGGTTTCTTTTGTCCAGTTTTTTGGTGGAGCTTCTTTCTTTCCTAATTGCTTCCCACCTTTTTATGAGTGTTTATGGCTGTGGAATTTCTTACTAATTTTTTATGCATTGATGTTGCTCTTTTGGAAACATTTTTTTGTTGAGTATATGAGCATTTGTTCATCTTTCGGTGATATTTGCTTACATGTGTTGCTTTGTATTGATATCAGGCTAATAAAAGAGGACGAAGAAAGGGATCAAAGAGTAAAGTTAATCCTGAAGTATCTCAAAAACTTCGTGATGCTAAACTTTCTTATGCCTGCCTTCACTATGAAGAAGTATGTTAATTTAAATGTCTGCTAACCCTTATCTTTGATAAATAAGTTTTAGTTTTTATATATTTTTTGGGAGATGTATTTTATTTATTGATAATGTAGACAGTAATATTTGATAAATAATCTTTTCTTTATCAATGTTTCTTTACAAGTGGTCAATTAAAAGAATAGAACATGAGCAAGAATTTTCTATACGACACATTTGATATTGAACATACTGCTCTCGATTGTCTTGCATAAACCATTTGTGTGTTGGTATATATATGTAATATATGCACTTTTAAAGGAGATATCACATTTCATACACCATCTAGGATAGTACTCTACTTTGTTGTAATTGTAAACTCCTACTATTCCTGAATTATTACTAGGTCAATGATAGCAACTCAGTACTTATATTAGGGTGTGTTTGTTTGGAGGTTTGGATTTTGATGTTGGGATTTGAATAGTAAAAATTTTGAATTGTAATAGTAGTATGATGTGATATAAATAGGTGTTGATGTGATGTTTTGAATGGAAAATTAACTTATAGTATAATATCAAAAAAAAAAAAAAAAAAATAGGTATTTGATTTGATTTTTTTTTAGAGGGGGGGGGGGGAGAAATTTAATGAATAGTAAGATTTTGCAAAAATCTTACAAACGAACACACCCTTAATGTATTAGTATGTACAAAATTTTGTTTTCTTGCTTCTTTCGTTTATACTACCCTTCTATTTTCTAATATTTGTTGTTCTGGATTGTAGGCCATTAATGCGTTGAAGGAAGTTATTCGTCTTGCCCCCAACCTCGTAGACCCATACCGTACACTTGGTCTAATTTATAGTGATATGAATGATAAGAAAAAAGCCTTGAATTGTTACATTATTGCGGCACAGCTAGCTCCTAAAGACGCTTCCTTGTGGAAACTTCTATGCTCCTGGTCCATGTAAGAGGCCACCACATAGTTTAAATCTGTCTTTTGAATTTTCATTTTGTCGTTTTACCTTCTTATAGCATTATTTTAATTAATTGCAATCTCTGTCATGCTATGCCCGTTGAGGAACTACTATTGTTAATAAGTGTCTGATAGTCTGGTAGTATCAGCTCAGCTAAGTATAGATCAACTTTAACATCATCCCACTAGTATATGTCTGGGACAACCAAATGGATTTCTCTTGTATTACTCTATTTTTAGTGTGCATGAGTGTTAATATAATGTTAGACCTAGTGCGAGTTAGTTTGGATTTGTTTTAAGTCAATATAATTTGATTGAAATGCATGCCATCATGTTGTCCACAATTAGGTCTAGCCATCTGGGATATATTATTTTACCTAATGCCAAGTTGATTTATATGATTCTATTACTAGTTCCTTTGGTGATGTACTACTGATTGTATGTTTTTATCATCATTGTTGAAGTTATGAGATGGTAATGTTAACGACATCTATTATTTGAAGAGAACAAGGTAACAAACGACAAGCAAACTACTGTCTCAATAAAGCAATAATAGCTGATCCAGAAGATATTGGTCTGCGGTCTCATCGTGCTTCTCTTTATGTTGAGCTTGGAGAGTATCTTAAAGCTGCTGAGTCGTATGAGCAAATCTCTCGCCTCTGTCCAGATGACATTGAAATTCTGAGAAACGCCACAAAGGTTTACTTCTTAACATCTTTTTATTTGATATCTAATTGGTTAAAATAATATGAAGGGGAGACACCTATGAGCTTGACTTGAGGTAGCTATTGTACTCAAAAGCTGGTTCAAGTAGTTTGAGCCTTTAGATCTATGATAGTGATCATGAATTGTGTTTATACACACTACAACCACAACATTTGCATGGTTTTGCCCGTGTTTTGGTCTGAAGCCCTTTTACATGCTTCTCAATTAAGGGTGCTTACCATGGACATTACTTCTTTTTAAATATAATCTTAATTATACCTCCAACATCCAATATCCTCTCTAATAGCTTTTACCAACACTATGAGGATGCAGTGAAATTTCACAAATATCATGTCGTCTTACTACATTTTCTAGTGGTGGTTCAATTAAGGGTGTGTTTGTTTGAGGGTTTGGATTTTGAGTTGGGATTTGAATAGTAAAAATTTTGAATTTGAATAGTTGTATGATGTGATATAAATAGGTGTTGATGTGATGTTTTGAATGTAAAATTGGTTTTTAGTATAATATAAAAAATGAAAAATAGGTGTTTGATTTGATATTTTTTTGGGGAAAAAATAGGATGAATAGTGAAAATCCAAACAAATCCCTCAAACAAACACACCCTAAGAAGATTTTGACCTTTGAATTTAAAGCTATTGTTGAGCCCTTTGCTTTGAAGATAGGTCAGATACATATTTTCCTATACCCAAAGAAATGCAACACTATTGCCTTAATGGTCACCCCTTTCTGTGGCCTATCCAAATCAAAAGATTTTTCTTGCACTGCTATCTACTTTAATGCCACTGTGGAGTAGAAATCAAATTCAGCTCAATTCATGCTTTCCTACTTCAGAAGGCTTTTGATTATCAGAATGTTCTAGATGCAAACAAAATATCTGGATCTCACCTGAATATAATCATTAATACCTTTAAAAGATAGCGTTAATGTTGGAAAATAATACCTGATTTGTTCAATGTACACTATTGAGTTGTTACATGCAGCATATGTTATTCACTTCTTTATTGTTACTCACTCTTGTATTGTTTTTTTTTTTTTTTTTTTTTTTTCTCTTCCATCTTAGTTCACACATTATGCTTAATTTTTCTCTTTATTTTAGCTGTATCAAAGATGTGGGCAATGTGAGCGAGCTGCTTGTATGCTGGAGGGCATTCTGAAGAATCATACAGATGATGCTAATTTTTGCTTGGTTGATCTCTTAGCTTCAGTGCTTCTGGATAACAAAGCATATTCCAGAGCTCTTGAGCATATTGAGCGTGTTCAGCATGAGTGCAAAAATGGAAAAGAGATTCCACCTAATTTAATGATAAAGGCAGGAATTTGTCATGTTTTTCTCGGGAATCTGAAGAAAGCAGAGGTTTGAACACTATTATGATCTTATTTATGGTTGATAACTTGATATGCAACTGGACTAGTTATACTATCTTCATTAGTTAGAATATGAAAAATGAAATGCCTATTAAAGTAGAAACCTTACATAACTAGCCATTTATGTATTCCTTGCTTATTTGACCCGGTATATATATTTTTATAAAGTTTGCTCATTGTTCCGTGGAAATTTTTAACAGGACTACTTCAGCCTCTTGAAATCAGAGAACGCATCTGCTCATGATCACTTAATCATGGATGTTGCAGATTCACTGATGACTGTTGGGGAGTATGAATCTGCGTTAACATACTATCTGATGATAGTGGGAGATGCACATAAGTATAATGTAAGGAAATTACCGATAACATTTCTTCCAACTCTATACATGTTAACTTTTTTGCTACAATCAATTGATATTTTTTCCATTCAATTCAACCTTGTCCAGGGCGATCGACATTTGAGAATTGCAAGGTGTTGTGTTTCTCTGAAGAAAGTAGCAGAAGCTATTGAATATTATTACAAAGGTAATAAAGGATTCGAAAGCTTTTTTTTGTGAACAAGAATTTCACTGATCTTCAGTAAATTATAATTTATCTTGAAACATTTTATGTATTGACTTATATTAGTTACTGAATGTCTAACAATCTTATCTCTGTTTAGCTATTGAACAGCTTGATAATACTATTGATGCCCGGTTGATGTTATCATCTCTTCTTCTTGAAGTAAATCGAGACAATGAAGCTATTTCTGTACTTTCTCCTCCAGTAGAGTCAGGTTCACACTTACCTATCAATTTTAAATGTTGTTGTGCTGTTTGTAGCAAGTCTTAATCAATAAATACTTTGGCTTACAGCTCCAGAGGCAGAATCAAATACCTGTAATTTTTGGTGGCTTAGCGGAAAGATAAAGTTGAAGCTTTCCTTAATTTATAAAGCCAAAGGGTTATTCCAGGATTTTGTAGATGTTTTATTTCCCATTGTTCGTGAGACATTGTTTCTCGAAACAGTCCGGAAAAAGGTATTCTGTTATCATATTCTCTGTCTGTGGTTTTCTTTATTCCCCATCTTCTACTTGTTTGGACTATGTATGTCTTGAATGAAACTAAAGTATACGAGGGATTTATCAATTTTAACCTTCAACACTTTTTCACAAGTGGGCAACATGTTATATCATTAAATGCCTAATATTTCCCTGACTGACTGAGGATCCAATATGTGACATCTAATCTCAAAAGTGTCCTATTTTGTTCTTTAAAGTGTTTTTTTTCCCCTCTTAATTTAAATGTCCCATTAGATTCCGGCATCCTTTATACTACTGTCTATTTGTGAATAACAGTTAATCACTTAATCTCTTTTCCCCATAATTTTAACATTCTCAACCTCCCTTTAAGAGAAGAAAAGGAAAAATACAATACTTTCAAAATACTAACCATTCTATCCAATATTTTCTTTGAGTATAATCTACAGATACAAATGTGCTAGACTAGTGGATAATGATTACGAGTTTTGAATTCATAATATATGATGTTATTTAAGAAGTTTCTTGTCATATCAATACAAGCTATCTTCATGTGTAGTAGTGTATAATGACAAGTACCCTTCCTACATTATGTTTCAATACTATGTACTTTTACTTTGTTAATTATTGGAGAAGGATTTGAATAATTATATTTGCTTTATTATTGAAGAATTGTTAAAGACCAATGATTTATATATACTTTAATCTAACTGAATAACTTCCTTTTTAAACTAAATTGGTTACACTTACATGTACATGAACTTTTGTGAAGAGATATTTTTTCATTTCAAGAAAAAGAAAATAATTTTTGTTTTGCACTTTCTGCATGTGGCACCAGGTTAAACCTCGTAAACGCCTATCAAAAGGTGTTCTTTCAGAAAGGATGAAAATTTTGAATGATCAACAGAGTGACACTGTTTTTCATAGATTTAGGCCGGTGGCTTCAGCAGCAGATCTGTGAGTTTTTATGCATGCTATTCACTTTTGGTATCACATTTCTCAAATCTTAAATACGATTATAGAAATTTGTTATTGGGAAATTTGAAGCTTGACTAGGTATACAAAGTGATAATAGTAGGGAAGGATCCCATGAACGTCTGATGGGGTGGAGTCTAAGGAATTATGACTATAAAACTCTTGATTGGAAATATTTAAATTTAATTTGCATAAAAATTAGTTGTGGTGCTGTTAATTGTTCTTTGAAACCATTTTTATCATGCTTTTTGAAGATGTTATAGGTTCATTTATACATGTTTTCTATTGCATCTTCCTAGTGTCATAAATGAAAAGTGATTATTTTTTTTGAAGAAGAAAGTGGGCGAAAAACATTTTATGTGAAAGATACAAGGAAATTTCCTTTTATCTACTTTTTTTTTTCAATCCCTTCAATCCAAACCAGCCATAAAAGAATTGTCTGTAACCAGCATATAGTGCAAATAGTGCAAAGCACCTTTTTGGAAAGGGGAGTTTGTTCTTGCTTGGAAAATCTTGGAGAAGACAAAATACTATTCTTGAAAATAACACAAATATGGAATCAACATAAGAATACACACTTATATTTAAAATATTATGATGGGATGTGTTTCTAAGCTTGCGATATGCAACTCAAATAACACAAACATCACTTGCTCATGTTAGTCTATATGAATGCTAAAGTGCTTATTGTGCTATCTTATTTTTTCTAGTTCTAAAGCATCCAGAGCAAAGAGGCTCCTCGAAAAGAAGGCTGCAGAAAAAGAAGCAAGAAGGGCCGCAGGAATTGATTGGGAAAGTGATGATTCAGATGATGAATCTCCAGTAAGTAATGGAAGAGAAGATCTGGTTTTAAATACAACTTTATTGATCACATTGATTTGACTGAATGATTCTTGCAGCGTGTACTGCGGGAGCCGCCTCTGCCAGATCTTCTCAAAGAAGGGGGAGATCATTATTTGATTGTAGACGTAAGTAGTTTGTTTTAATATCCTATCATTATTTGCTATGATTGCACTGTTTGTTCTGCAATTTATCAGCATATCCTCTCACTGTTATAATTATCTGATGAATTCCTCTAGGCTTTGAACTAATGGTAGGTTGTAAGGATACATCGAAGACAAATATAGGGAGTTTGAGTGTGATATTGGAAAATTTGAGAAAACACATGTAAGTTGTCAAAGTAGCTGCTGAGGATAGAGACCACATTTAAGTTAGAAAGTTATTGGCTAAATTTTCTTCCCATGGTTTTGTTGTCGTTCTTCGGTATGCATTTTAAATGTGTACTTATTCCTGCTGATATAATAAATGACAAATAAAGTACAACCTACCAAGAAAAATACAAACAAGTCGAGGACTCCACAATCCAATGAATTGAATGTTTTTTCTTTTAAGTTAAAGATGGAAGACAAAGGATTGAAGAACATCTGAAAATCAATGTGATTTATTTTGCGGAGAAGTTAGAACCATAGTGACTAGAGTCGTAATGAATATCAACTTGAATGCAGCCATATTTTCATCAATTTCTCTATGCTATGCTTGTAAATGAGATCCTTTGTTATGTTTGTGATGGGACTTGTCCTTATTGTAATACCTCTAGAGTTGGCCGGTTCTAGGCCAACTTCCATTGATAAGCCGGTGCCAGGCCATCTAAAGTCAAATATAGGTTAAATGGATTGAATAGACTACTCATATCAACAATGTGTACATTTTTTTTCGGAAGCCCTACTGAAAGAACTTTAGAGTTAAATGTGCTTACTATAGAGTAATTTGAAAATGGGTGACTCATTGGGAAGTCTCCCAGGGTGTGCGTGATTGAGGACAAGGCGCGCCGAAAGGACTCGTGTTGACCTGTGGGGTCAGTCTGCGATCCCAACGTGCTCGGCACCGCAGTGTTACAGTTGGTATCAGAGCGGACCTGCTACAACCCGTAGTCGTTGATTTGACTGGTGACGGGTCTAGCAGTTGATGATCCTTGGGGTGCATCGGGGACATTGCATTTTTAAATGGGGGAGAATGTAATTAATACCCCTAGAGTTGGACCGGTGCTAGGTTAACTCCCATTGATGAGTCGGTGTCAGACTATCCAAGGTTGAATATAGATTAAATGGATTGAATAGATTAACAATGTGCATATTTCATTTTGAAAGTCTTACTGAAAGATCTCTAAAGGTAAGCGTGCTGGGAAAAACGCGCTGAAATGACTCGTGTTGACTTGTGAGGCTAGTCTGCGATCCTGACATGTTCGGCTTCGCGTGGCTTGCGGACCAGGGTGTTACACTTATAGTTTGGGAAGATAGACTTCTTCTTTTGAACATATTTGCTTTACAATCTGCTGCTTTCATACATCCTTGATTTATTACATGAATAATCTCGGGATAATGTGATGCCATTTCCATAGTTATGCAAAGCATTATCCACATTGCGGAAGTATTGGGATGCACTGGAGATAATCAATCTTAGCCTCAAATTGGAATGCAACACATTGTCTGCTCAGGTTAAAGAAGAGCTTCGTACTCTTGGAGCTCGTAAGTTTTGATATATTGATAATCTTGTTCAATGCACATGGTTAATTTTGTCTTATTTTACCTGTGAGATAGATGGTGTAGTGGTTGTAGAAAGTTCTGAAACATTTCATGATCTTTCGAACTTGTAGAGATGGCACATAATATTAGTGATCCTACACATGGTTGGGAATGTGTTCGTTACTTTGTTAGCCGGCACCCCTTCAGCTTCTCAGCCTGGAATTGCTACTACAAAGGACTGTTGAGGTAAGATACCACTGAATGTGTGTTTATTATTACATTAGTTATTATGTGTTGTGCCCTTTTGCTACAAATTTGGTAATTATAGTGCAAAGGACATTTCCTTATGCATTTTTTCGATGCTTGTGACTTTAGGAGCTTTGGGAATGAAAGTAGGATGAAGGACCAAAAAAATACAAAAAAATGAACATATTACATAAAACATAAGATGCATTTATATTTCATTTAGAAAGTTACGGTGAATTGAATTGAGATAGAAACAGTTTTGAATTTGAACTGAGTGGGGATGTTCTTTCATATTTTTGATCTTTGCAAAATGGTCATTGGGAATTTTCTGCTGAATCTTAATGGCAATTGAGTTGATCAAAATGACTAATTTTGCAAAATGCTCAATTTTTGCATGTTGTGGTTTATGTTGTATGTGCTGTTTTTATGTAGATTTGGTAAGTAAGCTGATTGTTATATACTGCAGAAGTAATCGAATGACAAAACACAACAAGTTCCTCCATAGCATGAGAGCAAAGCACAAGGATTGCGTACAACCAATCCTTATTTCTGGACATCACTTCACAATGATCAGTCAGCATCAGGCAGCTGCCCGCGAGTATTTAGAAGCCTATAAGCTGTTGCCAGACAGCCCCTTGATAAATCTCTGTGTTGGTATGCCATTGAATTTGTAAATAACTAAATACACAAAATGAAAATGTTGGAGCCCCTTGGCAAAACTCAAATCAAATAACCCGGCCCCTTAATCTTTCAGGAACTGCCTTGATAAACTTGGCACTCGGCCACAGACTTCCAAACAAGCATCAGGCCATACTACAAGGGCTTGCTTTTCTGCATAACAATGCTCGGCTTTGCGGGGACAGCCAGGTATCCTCTTTCCTGTAACTTCACTTTAAAGTTGGAACATATTATATTCGTTTCCTCCCTAATCAGCATTATCAAATTGCCAAGAGTAGCTGTAAGGTTTAGCTGTGGACTTTTGGTTGTGCTTACTGTTTCTGTAAGCGAAGGCGATTCTATTTTGATTTGCAGGAGTCATTTTATAACATTGCTCGGGCTTGTCATCATGTCGGTCTGGTTTCTTTGGCCGTAACATATTATGAAAAGGTTTTAGCGATGCGGGAGAAGGATTATCCCATCCCTGTGCTTCCCAACGATAATCCAGATTATGAAATGGTGGAAAGGCCGGGATACTGCGATCTCCGACGAGAAGCTGCCTACAATCTTCACTTGATCTACAAGAGAAGTGGGGCAGTTGATCTAGCTCGGCAGGTTTTGAAGGATCATGTTGTCCTATGATGCCATGGAAATGTCTTGATGCCCAGAGACCCACAATCTTGTGTGTTCTGTTGTTATGTAGATTAGATTTGGTAAGTAAGTTTAAAGATCTATTTATTGAAAAATAGATTGGTTATTATTATTGTTAATATGATTATATTATATAGAATTATTTAATTTATAGTACGAGTACTTAATGTTAGAGGGTGGATGAAATATATAAACATTTTTTGGTGCAACAATGGACTCTCTCTCTCCCTCTCTCTCTCTCTCTCTCTCTCTCTCTTATGCATGTGATTTGGATAGAGAATTAGATAGGCTTCCAATTCGGGCTAAAATTTATATTGCTTGGGCCTGAATGAATTGGGCCAGTCTTTTCCAAATAATTATTTTGGGATAACAAATTGTTCCCAAAATGTGAAGATTATTTGAAATTCAATCAAATATTTACATGATCGATGCTTTCTTGGCAACCGTTGTTTTGATCTGGCACATAACTGGAGCTATCTCTGTTGTCACATAAAGCTTCTTTTGTCACCCTCTCATTATTTCCTTACTGCAAATATAGTATTAAAAGTACAATTAAATATATATATATATATATAAATATTTTTATTTTGAGATAAAAAATAATTATTGGGTTTAATATTTTTAGTATGAGAAAGTACGTGCCAAGTAAATATAAATAAACATAAGAAAATTATTCAAGTTAATCAATTAAAAATGTAATTTATTGTAAAATTAATAAACTTTACTACAAATAAATATTTAGGATTTGTTCTTCCAACAATTTTTTTTTTACACAAATTCCAATATATTATATATATATTCTATTTTTTTTTAAAAAAATTAATATTCAATACAAAATATTAATTTTTACATGATATATACAATTTTCAGTACCTCATATCAAAAAATATCCCAAACTAAAACAACAACCAAATCCAGATTATTATTTATACATTAAATTAAAATACTAGAAAAATATTATATATCTATAAAATTAACAAAATCTATGTAAAATTAACTATTAGTAGTTTGGATATAAAATAATAATTAATACAAAATATTATTATTTTATATCCAAACTACTAATACAAAATCTACATACAAAATATTTTTTTAAAAAATATAAATAGATTTCATAAAAAATATATAAAATTATTTTAGTCTTATAAATAATCATATGTACGAAGACAATGTTATAAATTTTATCATAATTAAATGGTTAGATTATTATTTATGCATTGATATCAAAATAGTAAAGAATATTATAAGTTTGTTCGCTTATTGTTTTTTTTCACAATTTTTTATAAACATTATTTAAAATTATAATAATATACATATATATTAACATAATAAATATAATATATATTATATATTCATGAAAATCAATAATTAAATATAAAATATTATTTTTTATATAATCAATACAATTTATTGTACCCAACATACGCATTCATTCAAAAATAATAAATCTTATATATTTTGTAGAAAATAATAATTGAATATAGATAATTTTTAATTATAATATATATATTAAATAGAGTTAATAAACAGTAGAAACATAAATTACGTTTATTTTATTTAATAAAATATATATAACGGAGACCATTCTAGTTATATATATTTGCATTCTTGTAACTTCACTATGTTATATTGATTTTTACAATAACATAGAGTAAAATTTGAAAAATATAAATTCAAAATTAAAACTTGAACTTGAGTGATGGATCTCTAACATCGAAAACAGGTAAATAATTAAACAAGTGAAATACACAAAAAAAGAAACAAAGTGTGATCCTCAATTAATTTCTTTTGAAATTTATGTTGATTAAAGATGCTTTGATCATTGATGGGTTATTTGAAGAACCCCATGAATCGCCCACCAACCACATTTGGTCGGTTATGCAGGACGTGACTAACTAACAGCAGCTCCTGCCCCCACAACCACCACTTTCGGGAGGCGGTTATGACTAGCAGTTGGAAGACTCTGATTTCCCATTGCTTCACAAATGGCCGGTGAACCGTTCCTGCCAATCTCACAATTCCAACATAGGCTGAACTCTCCTGAATTCGGTCTCCATTGGCCGTAGAGGTAGACTCAAGGTTCTCGCTAAAGTAGTGTTTCACATGCAATTTGACTTAGAAAATGTAATAAAAAGGTAGGTGACAAGCTAATTAATTGATTAATCATTCGTGAGTATCAAAGAGAATGGCTCGTAGGGCAGTCTAGTATGCATCCAGCGATAGATCATCAGTGCAATAATCAATAATTAGTGTAGCTATCTAGAATACCTATAGATCAAATAATCTCAAAATCACGAAGTGCACTAGCAAACAGATATTTCTTATGTTCACTCTCGCAACATTCCAATGAATAAAGTATATACATATATGATACGCGAAAATATATGGATTTTACAAGGATTTTTTAATGAATTAATTAAAGGAATTGAGAGTAATTGGGCATGGTCAAGTATAAATGAAAGAAATGAAGTTGTAGACCCTGAATCGCATTATCACAATTATTTATACTCTTTTTACTGGTGAATTTTCAGGTCGAACACATGAATTTTTAAGTCATGAAATCAAATTAAGAAAATCTTACAAAGTTAAGCGCATGATGGAAAGTGAAGAAGAATGGTGCTCGCTTGCAAGCAAGTAAGAAAACAGTAAATGCTATGTAAAAGAAAGCAGTAAAGTGAGTGGGATGGAGATGATAAAGTGGAGATAGTGCGCAAGCGGTAGATGCAACGAGGGTGTTGGTGAGCGAAAGCGAGCGAGTGAACAGTGAGCGGATTACAAATATAAGAGTGATGGTGAGTTGTTTGATGTGAGATATTGTTAGTGACCGATGAGCGATAATATGGGAGCGATAAGAGGGATCAAATAAGGTTGTGTGTGACCTGTGCTTTCCTTAATGACTATATTTTAATTGAGGAAATGAGTGACTGATGTCTTTGAATAAGCGAAACATATATTTATAATATGCAATGACAAAAGTAATGAATGTAATTATGCTTGAAAGTTAACACATAATTTTGAATCGCTGCTATTTGACCTTAAGGGATTTACAATAAGACTTAAATGATGCACAAAATTAGAATATTATAAGCAAGAAATGCTACCATCACTAGACATTTCTATACCTGATAGACAAGCGTCTATAACCGTTTAATTATTCTACAATCTGTCTTATTAGTGGTTTTATCCTTCTGTGACCTCTCTTTAATCAGAATCAAATTCGGAATAGCAGTTAAATAGGTCGATAAGGCTCTCGCGTACTTAACTATATTGAAATGCTTAAATTATATTAAAGAATACGACACAAATTTAGGTTTAACTAGCCGATTCTTCTAGGTTCTTTCACAGTAATCAGAATTTTGGAATTTTCTTCCAAACATGAATATGAAGAGGGGATGAAGATGAATATGAAGAAATCATGATATTTTATTTAACTATCAAAAGCAATAAAGATCTACATTACGAAAAAAATAATAAAGCAGTAAATCAACATAGTAATCTACACTATAAAGCAATAAATTGAGCGGCCAAAGAAGGAAAAGATCTCGAATCTTTTGGCCATTCATAATTAGGGAACTTCCTTAAAGGGTTGGAACTCTCGAAAAAGCACTAAAAATCTGTAGAAAGTATGAACACTTGAGTGTTGTGTTTTACAAATGAAATCTGGCCCTATTTATAGGTCTTAAAAATCAACAGTTGAACAGAAGTTGAGCGGCAGTTGAAACCGTTGAGCAGTTAGGAGGTTGACAACAGTTAATCTGTTGGAGTAGTTACACCATCCATAACTTCCAGGTTAATTGCTTCGCTTGCCTGAGAATGCAAGGGCACAGATCTTCTTCGCTTGCCTGGCTTGGCTGGAGGGCATCAGCCTACTCAAGCGATGCTATCATTGCTGGCTAGTAATGGAATGACTTGATCGTTGAAAGATGAACACTCGCTTACTCAGTAGCGGATGTCTAGTCACTAGTGCTGGCCTAAGCGGTAAGAGCGTCGCTTGCCTAGCCAGAGTGCCTTCGCTTGACTCTCAATACTTAGATTTTTTGGGCCAGAAATATCGCTTAGAAAGGTTAAAAATGTCAATAATATCAACAAACAGACCCTGGATCATGTCAAGTGAAACAAAATAATAAAGTATGTCATAATTAAGATATTATGATGGTTTTCACATAAAAATTCAAGTAATACACTTTTTTGTCAAGCGAAAGATATGCTATTATCTGAAGTTATAAAACCTTCTCACAGTAAACCTTTGTTCGTCCTCGAACAAACTCAATCGCATAAATAGAGACTTAACCCGTTCAAGGCAGTCAAGTATTGCATAAGATCAGTGCCATGATTGTGAATAAAGTGAATCTCAAGTATAAGCAATTGATTCTTAAGCATTCAAAACTTGTCAATCTGATTTAACATGAGCGGAGTCATCCAGGTATAATTGACTTTGCTCACTTAGCGGGGACTACTTTTTTGATGAGGAAACCTCAGCCGGAAGGTGTGAAATTTTTTTTCATCTCTCATTATATTTTGCGATGGGTCACAGAGTTTCAAACATTGTGTTTGCTCGTGACCTAATTTATTTTGCATCGCAACCATAGGCCTTTTCAGTTCCTTTAATGATGGGTCATTCCCGCTTCGCTTACATCAGTTCTCAAACCATATTTAAGGACTTCGCTTTTCAATATCATCTCATTTTAGCGAAGTTGATAGAAAAGTAAATTTAAAATGAAGGGGGCACTAACATTTTTAAGTCATATCGGTGGGTACTTAGTTTAACTCAATGTTCATATTAAAGAATATGGTAAATGAGAAATTACTAAGTTCAAAGCTTGCAAGTTGTCTAACCCTACTCTAAAATATGTTAGAAGTCTAACGTAGCTACGTATTAAAAGAATTTAAAGTAATCACATATGCTTGCAGTTATGATAGGCATACAATATTGAAAAGTTCAACTTGTTACCGAAAATCCGCAAGGTTATTGATCCTCAAAATTCTGTACAAGTTGTTGGTCCCGAAATCGATCAAACACCTAGCAGCAATAAAAAAACTCACTTCGAAAAAGTAAATCAAAAAATAAAACCTCAACACAGACTCATTGTTTGTTGGACGACCGGACTATGAATGCACATGCTAGTGGCGACAAGAACATAAAACACAAAACAATTGTTAACCCCTTTTAACCATCGAAGACCTATATCTAGGGGTACCAACCCATTAAGAT